CAGTTGCAGATGTCCCATCTGGACAGGGATCTCACCTCCTCCTGCAGACACAGGGAAGGAGAAGGGGGAGGCCGTGAATCCTTTGAATTACAGACTTTAATATACATGTTCTGTAACATCTCCCATTCAAAGCTGCCTAGAGCCATGGGACATGTTTGATCGGGAATGGAAACAGAATCCTGTTTGTTAGAATAAAATTCACTATACAAACTAGGCCTCCTAATTCAATGATTTTATTTCACTAAGCCAGCACCCCAAATTCTAATTCAGTAAAGTTCATGGTGGCACAGATCTGACTTATTACTTGGGCATGTATAGCTCTAAGCATCAAGTAATGCATGGCATGCTTAAGTTATGGATGTGCTTAAGAGCTTAGGTTTGACCTTGGTCCCCAGCAGCAAACTCCTTTGGACCTGATGTGGATGCGATGTAGCTGTAAAGTAATCCCTTCCTCAGTTAAATATGGCCTGGAAAGCAGCTGTTTAATAAGCTGCAGATGCATTTAGGGGTCTTCATATTTAAGATTACTTCTTATTTTAAAAAAGCCTGGCAGTCTTTATTTCTAACAGAGGGTGCAACTCTTCACAAGTAAGGGCTTCCCAGCCTCCCTCAACTGCTTTTCCTAAAATCCTTTGACTGTACTGTATAGAAGGATCCTGAAAGAGTTGGGAATAATCCGTTCCCTTATCTCAGTGCACTTAAGATGTATAACCCTCCTGGAATAGCCCCGCTATCCCATTCAACGCTCCTGACCGTATATTCCCCTGAGAGAAATCAAGTTTAGGTTGAAATATATATGCATGTATGTGTGTGCATGGGCTCTACACATACAGATGGAGACACACATTTCTCCGAAAAAAGCCCTCACAAAGCCTTTGCCATACCCCTATTCAAAAACGTGCAGTGAGCGTTCTGAACCCAGGTGAACACGTCTCTCTTCGAACACCCCAGAACACATCTGGATCTTTAAGTCTGCAGCTGGACCCCTGTGGCACCGGGCAATAGGCTGAAGCAGGACACCTGCCACGGGCAGGCCCCATCAGGCCAGTGCTCTCCTGATTCTGCCTCCCGCACCTCTGAGGAAAGAGGGAATACCCTGGCATGGTCCTTCCCTGGGAAACTGAAACCTGAAGTCAGAAGCACACGTTGCAGCCCTGCCATTGCCTCAGCTACCGACCTGCCGGGATGGTGCCAGAGCGTCGCCTCTGATATCTGCCACAGTGTCAGAGGTGTTAACATCCAATTACAGGAAAAAATGAGCTCTGCAACCAAGGGAAAAACTGATGCTACCTTGCTGCGGTCCTGGGAGATTTTCATTCCTGGGAGAGAGGGCTTGGGTTTTTTTTTTGGTCACGTATGAAATAAATAAAATTACTGTGAGATGTGCTTCCGTTAAACTGAAAACCAGGGGTTCTTCTAATGGGTCGATACTCCTCCAAAGTACAAGGGACACTATGCACAGAAAGATTTTGCTAACATATGAGAATGGGGAAATTAAACGGTCTAGCACTATAAAAACCTAAAGTTATCTTGGTGAACACCTGAGGCCTCACTAAGTTTTGGAAACAGAATTTACTTTTCTCCATTTTTATTCTGTTCATGTTACATGTCCATTGGCATGGCGTTTTTTTTTTTTATGCTTGCAGTTTTCAGGGTCCATGGTGAGCTGTTAGGTGAATTTAAAAGGCTGATGCAAAGAATGGCACCAGACATTACCCTCTGCGCATCAGCATTTAGGAACTCCTGCCTCTGTGGGGATTAGGTTACTGGTGAGTGAGGTGCCCTTCATGGTCAAAAATACCCTGGGGACACTCCACTTCCCAACTTCCCGTAATAAGCAGCAATGAAAGAAAACCTGCCACGTGTGCCCACAGACGTAGCTGCTCTCTGCCCCCTCTCACATAGGCTGGGGGTGTCTTTGCCCTGGCGAGCCGTGGTTCCTTCCCTCACCCCAGGAGGCACTGGGAGATGCTCTGTCTGGAGACAGGCCCCCCGGGGGTGACAGAGGCCATGCTGTCCCTTTGCAGCTACAGCAAGGAGGTGGCCAAGTGCCACCCATGGGGCCAGGCTGCTCCCACTGCTCCCTCCCGCTCCCGTCACCCCCGCAGGGACCTGATGCAGGAAACGAACCCTGCAGGGGCAAAACGGGGAATTGTTTCCTCCAGCCTTTTTGCCTGTTCAGTTCCCTGCTTGCAGCAAGACTTTCTACGGGAGCATGGTAAAGCAACTCACTGAAGGAATACAGGAGAGAGCGGGAGGAGGGCTGGGCAGTCATTGACAGGGGAAGGAGAGAAGTTAAAGGGAGTACAACCTCACATGTCCACCTTCCAAAGGAACGTGGGCATCTTGCCTCATAGCGGGGCTGAACCACATGCCTGCGAGAGAAGATGAACCTTCAAAGACTTGCTTCAGTCCAGCCCTGCCCACAGCCCCTCTGTGAACTCGCTGCCCAGGCCCCAGGAGGGTGCAGGCAGAGCATCCTTCCTCTCTGGTGACTGAAACAAAGAGGCCATCGCCTCTTTCCCCACAGCCTCTAGCCACATCAGGGCTGCCTCCTGCCACCCAGAGGTTTGTCACCTCTCCGGACTGACCAGCAACAGCACTTTGGCCTGCTGAGGACAAGGCGGCGGTGCTCACTTACCCAGAAAATGACAGTCACAGAATCACAGAATGGCAGGGGTTGGAAGGGACCTCAGGAGATCATCCAGTCCAACCTGCCTGCTCAAGCAGGCTCACCTAGAGCAGGTTGCACAGGACACCATCCAGGTGGGTTTTGAATGTCTCCAGAGAAGGAGACTCCACAACCCCCCCGGGCAGCCTGTTCCAGTGCTCTGTCACCCTCAAAGGAAAGAAGTTCTTCTTCATGTTCAACTGAAACCTCTTATGCTTCAGTTTGTGCCCATTGCCCCTTGTCCTGTTGCTGGGCACCACTGCAAAGAGTCTGGCTCCATCCTCATGACA